TTCGATGTTCGATGTTCGAGTCCAAAAAAATTACGTAGGACCCACCCTCTACCATGAACTGTGTGTGTGTGTGCGTGCGTGCTTGAACCGGCACTATAGTAGGGTTCAGTGGGGCCCGAACCGGCACTATAGTGGGCAGCCCTGAATAGTGCCGATCTGGCACTATTCAGGGCGGGTTCTGTGCGCCGAGATTTGACCGGCACTATACCGGCAGCCGGCACTATGCAACCGGCACTAAACAGGGACCTCTACTGTACTGCAACGTTGTGATAGTGCCGTTTGGTGCACACTCCTGTGGAGGTTGGAGTGCTTGCGAGCTGTATCCTTGACGCAGTCGAGTGCGGTCCAAACAGTCGATCGACCTGCTGCGACAATTCTGAATGGAATACGGCTCGACGACCTGTGGGGGTTATGAGTCCGGAGGAAAAAAGAGTAGAAGGAGGGTGTGTGGTTCGGTTGTTTGCTTCGCACGGGGCGATCAACGAATAGGTATACAACAACGGACGCGTTTCTCAAAAGCTAACAACAAGCTTTTGCACCAAACTTGCAGGAGGGGCGGACGGGGTCAGGAGGGACACCTCATCCGACCCACACGAACATCAGTCAACGGAATCTCGAGAACATCGACGGAAGGAAAACAACTTGCTTTTCGATAAGAGACCGGAGATCGCCATTCTAAAATCAAGTGAAAATGCAGGAGTAGGGTCACTTTTCGGTGAGGTCAAAATCGAATTAGGCCCGAGAGTTTCCGCGACAGAAACTGGATCCCTATCGGGCTTCAGAACAACAAAAACGACGAAAACACACAACACCCGGATATTTACCAATTTCCTCCTGGATGCACTCACGAGTCTGCCACGACTGTAGCGGTTTCGCGGTTACACATTTATTTGTAGACCGCCAGGGCAACCGTATTCTGAGGGTTTGTTTTCTTCGGCTGGCAGATTTTTGGAAAAGACATCGGGGACACATTCAGCGCGAATAAACGCTCACACGGAGCACTTGTCAGTAATTGGAAGGGAAAATACATAGCACAACAGGCCACGGCATCCTTTCCAAATTGAATGGACACCTGAGCAACGAGCACACCGCGACCAGAAGGAAGTGTACCTGTGCCCAGAAATCGGGAACTCACCGACGAAAGGAATGGGTCGCTGGGGCGAGTGTGGTACCTCGCTTGCAGGATCACCCTCCTCTCAATGTCACCACTCAGAAACTTTGAACCCACAGATCCGGAAGCTCTTCCCTATGTTTGTTGTTTGATCCCGTCCCAATCTACAAGCTGGGCCAGCCAAGAAGTCAACGAAATGGTTAGAAGCGATTTCCGAGCCGGTTTTTACGAATTGGAACCTGAAATTGTGATATGTGATTGGAAACAGTCTTACAAACGCCCCCGAGTCAGATGCCGTTTTTTTTTTTTGGCGAGGTATCCCTATATTCAATAACTGAGAATCCTAGCATAGGGGTTTTTGTGGCTTAAAAAAAGAAAAAAAACGACATCTCACTCGGGGGCATTTGTAAGACCACTCCTAATCACATATCGAAATTTCAGGTTCCATTTCGTAAAAACCGGCTCGGAAATAGCAAATTGCGTCATGACCTCGATACCTGGGTGCAGGGGCGGAAATTGTGTAGGAAAATGAAGGCCTTACAGCCCGAGAAAAGGGGCGCGAAAGCGGCCTGATGGCAAGAGGCGCACAGATGCTGACTGTACCCCTTTGGTTGGACAGGTAGGTGTGGGTGCTTATCGATCGTAATGACGTGACACACATACATGCAAGAGGTTGTAATCTGAAGGTAAGCGCTCCAAAACGCATGACAAATGTTTTTTTGCACAAATCGCACAAAAGTTGACGTTTCTTTGTACATAAAAAAAAACACTTCGTTCGTTGATTGACAGCGGTTAAAAAACACCCGCTTATCTAAAAACAACATTCAAACTGACAGACTCATCAACACACACACACAACTTCTCGCACCGGTTAATCTTACAGAAAAAAATGATGCAAACTACAGCTTGAAACCGACTCATTTAACACACACCCCCACCACACCCGTTTATCTCGCAGAAAAAAAATCCAATGTACAAGTACATGCCACCGACTACAATCTACAACGACAACACACAGCTCACACAACACCCGCTTCTCTCACAGCATAAAACAAAACATGCACACACAACTCGAGACCCCCCCCCCTCGCCATCGGCCGGCCGACGTTGTTACTGGTCGCCAAGAAAACTAGTTTCCATGTCCAAAATGTTGCGGTGGGCCTTTTGGATCTTGCGCATCTTCTCGATGAACTCCTTGTTCCTGATGACTACCCCGCGAAGCGCAATCTCGCGGTAAGCCCGGCAGTAGTCTCGTGTTCGCCGGGCAAAGCGCCGCACCCGACCGATTGTCAAGTACTTGTCTATGCACAGCGACTTTTCGATGTTGTCGTGCAAGTGCTTCGGGACCTCATCATTGATCTTCCGCCGAAACTTCTGCTTGGAAAACCCCCACGAGTACTCGATCCCTACCCCCGCTACCTCCGGGTGACACTTCGGAGACGACAAAAGAATGTGTCCCCTACTCTCTACCAGGTGCTGCAGGGCTGTCCTCTCATTCTTAAAGTCAGGCAAGGCTTGCAGAACCTTTTCCACGTGCATATCGTCACTGACTCCCGCCCCTGTTGACATGCCGTCCTTCCACCACCCACGCTCCCACAGGTACTGCCTGACCCCTTTCGCTTTCCCCTCGTACCCTTCCTTGACCTTCCCCTTCGCGTTCTTCTTGTCTTTGCGCGGAGCATCCCATTCGAAAAACGGAGGAGGCGCACCTACCGCGAAAGTGCTAGTCTGAGTCTGGCCCACCGTCAGCTTCTGGTCAACACACACTGCCCCCTCGCTGAACTTCGTGCTCCACCTGCCGTTGGCGAAATACATTTTCGCCTCCTCCGGACCCAAGCCCTCCTCCGGACCCAAGCACTCCTCCGTCATGACCGAATCCCGCAACACCTTTTGCTTCCCCCCATACTTGACGTTCATGTTCGATACATGCAAACCATCCTCTCGCTGCTTCCCATGGCCCGACGAGTGGTCGACCTCGAACACTATTTGCATGTCGGGATCGATGTGCTCCAAGACGTCCATCACGTCTTCGACCTGTTCTTCGAACTGGTCGTAGCCCCAGTACCCATCCTTGCCTTTTCCGTATTCAAGAAACCGGAGTCCAGGGCTTCGCGTCAGGGTTTTTTTGCCGTTCCCCTCCTCATCGCGTTTGGCGTTCACCGCCGCCAGGTCGGCATCCGAAATAGGTAAGCCGAAACCGTGTCTTTCGTCCTGAAAACCAGACACCATTTCCCCCGGCCCCTCCGTCTTTTTCCGCAGTCCGCGCACCCCTCGAATCACCCACTCTTTGCCCTCGCGTGCATACGCCTTGTAGGCACTTCCGTCCTGCCCGATGTGGTGCACCTTCTTGCCGCATCTGCACTTGTTCGGGGGGTGGAAATGCTCGCACTGGGCAGCAGCGGCCTGATCGAAGCGAACGCTGTAGTCCCCACCCTCTGGACCAAGTGCGGCGCGGAGCTTGTCGAAGTTATCGACGGAGCCGTCGTCGCGCAGGAGATCTACGTGGAATTCGATGCAGTCTTGTCCATCGATCTTGCAGTCGTACACCTCTGCGTAGAAATCTCCTTCCGGGCCTCGCGACTTAAGGCTGTCGAGTCGGTCCACCTCCTCCTGCTTGAGAGCGGCTCGTTGCACTCGTACCCACAAGGGTTGACGCAGCGCCATCTTGCGTCTCTTCTCTATGTACTCGCCGCGGTACTCGACTACCTCCTTCTTCTCGTGGGTGTCCGTGTAGAACGACTTGGTGGCCCGCTCGTACCTGCAACCCAACCTTATCATCCACGAGTGCGTCGTGGACATCGAAACCGGAAGGTTCACCTGGTACGCATGGAGCCTGGAAAGATCCTCCTTGTCGTCTTGGAGCAGAGGCCCGTTGATGTACTTGCAGACGTCCTTGATGGTGAAACGCGGTTGTGATATCATCCACGCCAGCAACGCACTCTTCAGATCCTCCTCTGACATGATCCAGTCCGGCTCGTGCGCACCCCGTGCATCCCGCCTGAAACCACCTTCCTTCCGAAAGTCTCTGAGCCACCTCAGGATCGTTGATGGCGCATAAGCCTGCGGACTAGAACCTGCTACCTTTGCCGCCATCCGCAGGAGCGAAGCCTCGTGCCGAACCAACGACGCCTCGTTGAGCAGGTCAAACCGTTCGGCATCGGCTTCCTTCACGGCGGCATCCGTTGCATGCTTGCAGCCGGACAAAACCTCGTTCGCCTTCCGCGTGAGCTCCAGCTGCTTGACGTCGCGCTCCCGCTCCTCTTTCAGCACCTCCAACGATGAGTACGCTTGCTGCCACAACCGGATTATCTGCTTCTCGGCTACTTTTTCCTCCGGCGGTTTTCCCGTGTCCTCGGCCCACGTCCTATCGCCCGCGTTCTCACCGTCCTCCACGGAAGGGAGGGGGAGGGGGAGGAGAAGGCTGGGGAGGTGGCCAGTCCGGAGGGCGTCCTGGAGACGCTTGATGTGTTGCTCGTTGGCTGCAACGTTTGCCGTCAAGTCTTTGATCCGGCCGCCGAGGTAGGCTCCACGTTGATCGAAGGCCTTTCGAAGCTTTCTGTCTCTCCTTCTCCAACCCCGCTCTATCGAGCGTTTTTCGCGGCTGGTGAGCATCTGCTGCATCGCAAATTCCGCGCGGGTCGCGTCGGAGCCAGCCCGCCGCTGTCGCTTGAACTGCCGTTCCTGTGGTCGGCCGATGATCCCGAGGCTGTTGAGCGATTTTCCTGCTTGAGCGGCGGTTGGGAGTTTGAAGCACGAGGCAGTGCGGCACATTGTTATTCGTTGTTTTGCACTACAGCAATACTTGCAGCAAGTATTTCAGAGTTGGAGATCACCCAAGTAGTACGTGATGTGCAGAGGTGCAACAACCGGTCAACCTTTCGCGAAAGTGTGACGACATCGGCGCATTTTCATGCAGAGTTTTACTTTCAGACCGAAGTACGACACATGATAACACACCCCCTGGGTCGATTTCCACAGCTCGATTACTCCACGACGAAGAGGATGCATGAACAACACGATACGTTTCCGGAGAGCTCTCGACAAGACAGCTTCAACACCGCCGTTTTCGGCGCTGCGACTCGTTCTGCTGGTGATGAATCGAGCTTTCAAAATCCGTCCAGGGGGGTGTGTTATCTTACGTCATATACGGCAGCACATCGTTGCAGCAAACACATCGGGGTGTACAGGTACCATATTGTAGCAAAAAATGTTGTGCGTACTGCTGTAGGCGCCTCTAGTACCAGAACAACAGACGAGTAATGAAGGCAACTCATGTGAACGTGGATATCACGTTGGGCGATTACACTTGTGCGTGCGAAGCATGCCGTCGAAAATTCAAAAATCTCGGCTGACGACCACATCTCCCAAAAAATGTGGTCGTGTACAAATCAACATACGCCGCCATCTCTTTTATAGGAGTGCCACCTACTTGACGTCCCTAAAAGAACATACTCGACGTAAGTCCAGCCTGCGGCATGACTGGCCGCGTGCAGTAGGTACAGCAGCAGTCGCTGGCACGGTGTCACGTGTGCTGCCGTTGCTCCGACCCCAGAAACAAAAAAAATCAAATTGCATGATCATGTCCACATCGTGTTTGTACAAGTGTACAACTGCGCAGTTCACGACTTGCCTGCTGGAAGCGTAGTACCCGCTGCAACAGATGGGACTAGATTCTCCTTGCTGACCTCGCAGGGCTGACCACGTTGGCTGCCCTCCCAGCTGTACCTGAAGGCAAGGCTGCCACAAAGCGCTTCCTGCTCTGTGTTGCACAAGGGGCCGTACTTCTTCGTTGCCCTGTCTCCTTTCCGGCTGGTGAACATGAGCCGTAGCCGCCACTTCCCCTTGGACCTCTCTGGATAGCATACGGGTTCAGAGGTTCTCCGCCAGCCATTGCGTGTGACTGCTGCTACTAGGCTCTCCATGCTGTGCACTCCTCGGTGCCAGCGGGTGCTGTGTGCATCCGTTGTGCACAATTTCAAAAAAAAATGAAATTCCGCCGAAAAAAAAAGCGTTTCAAATTTTTTTTCCCCACTCTTAAACCCAGATAATATGCGGAGGGTTATCTTTTTTGGAGAGAATGTGTTCAACACGATTTCGAGAGGCATGGGCAAATCCGCTGTGATTGGCTGATTGAGCAGATGTGCCGAGCTCGTTCCAATTCTGATTTCTTCAAAATTTATGGCTGGAAGACTGAATGTTAGCTTCTTGGCTGGCCCAGCTTGTACCACTACCGCCTTTTGGGTGTGTGCGGAGGAATCACAGACCGAAAGGGAACCAACTGGTGGGATGCCATCTGCGAGCCCCCTCAAATGGTCAGGGGGTTTGAACACCCCTCGGCTCTTTCCCGCCCTCTCCTCACTCCTCGCTGCATAGAGTGCGCATGCGTGTGGCGACAGGTAAAAGGGTGGACTAGTTGCTCGCGCCCCTTGGTTTAAGTTGCAAGGAGTTTTCTCCAACAGCAGCAGCACATTTGGTGCTACATAATCCCCCCGCATCTCAGGGGTCGATCCACCACCTGTAGCCGGGCTTGGTGTACGATCGCAGTGCATCCGAAGCACAGAGAGCTTTGGGAGCCTCTGTGGCATACATGATGGGCCGAATGGTGCAGCTTGGGGAGGTATCGATTTATCGCGACGATTCCCTGCCGTGTTAGTCAGTGATGACGATGATGATGAGCGGCAGGTGAGTCGACATTTATCAACCGTCGATTTACCGCTTCCACTACAGCAGTACCATGCACCGCTGGGGATGTGTTGTCCATACTGATGGTCGATGGACGACGCAGCTAGCTACTCGCCCGAAGAGAGGAGGAACCTGGGACAACTATGTCGCAGCCCAACGAACTGCTGTGCAGGGCTCTACTAGCTCAAGTGTGTGTCACGTTGCGCACTTTTTTGCAGTTTGAGGGAGAAGGATGAGGATTTGAGTAGTAGGTTGTACGATATTCCGTAAATGACACAAGATACCACACCCCCTGGACCGATCTTCAAATTTCGATTTCTCAACAACGGGAAGCGTCGTGGCGTCGAAAATGGCGGCGTTGGAACTGTCTTGTCGAGAGCTTTCCAAAAAGGTATCGTTTTGTTCATGCATCCTCTTCGTCGTGGAGAAATCGAGCTTTGAAAATTGGTCCAGGGGATGTGTAATCTTGTGTCATATACGGTACTGCTGTTAAGTGACATAGGGGCGAGAGTAGGCTTGTGCTCCGTAGGCGCTCGCCTAAAACGCCTAATTTTGAGAGCTTGCACCTAAACACACAGTATATTTTCATCGCCTATACCCTATAACCCCAACCCTACGAAGAATAAACATTCATGTTTTAACTCATTGACCAGTTCAAGTAACGAAAACATGCCAAACCCTTTCTCCGAGATCGAATACCTTGACAAGTAGTTCATACCAGACGAGCAGCCTCCCTGCTGTAACATCCATTCCATCCTCAACATTAAACCAAAATCAAAACAATCGATCAATCCAGCAGCACCCTTGCGGCAGCATACGAATGAACACAACCCCATCCAGTTCTGATTGGACAAAGGCTTGCTCGTAATCGAAATGGCACAAGTCCCAACCTAACACGGGGGCAATGGCGGCTAGCAATCAAATGCTCGTGATGGAAGGACACGGGGAGAACGTCTCCAAGAAGTCAACACCCTCACGCTAAGCAAACCCACGGGCTACCAACCTAGCCTTAGCACGCGCATACCCAAACTCGTCTCCCTTCCATGAATACACCCACTTGGCGGAGATGACATTCGTTCCATGTTGCTATTCCGCCCTGACCTCCTCGCACGTGCCCACTCCATTCAGCCCGAACAACTCCTTGCGTTCGGCATTGGTTCAGATGTTGTGGTGTGGCCCCGCGTGCGCCTCCCCGTATGTCTCAGGCGTCTCCAGTTCGCGGGCCAGCTCCGTCGGCAGGGTTGGCTCAGCCACGCCCGGTGCAGGAAGCTCGGCGGTGCACAGCTTGATCTCGTCCTCCGTGCCTAGAAGAGCAGATATTCCCGGCCCCGGCCCATCTCGCTTCGCCAGCGACCTCGTCATTGCGGGGGTTGCTACATCCTCCCGCTGCCCCTGCCTACGCCCGCTGGCACCGTCCTCGTGCACCATCTCCGTCCACAGTCCATCCGATGCCAGCGGCGCCGCCGCCGAGTGCGCGGGGGCAGGTGTGGCATCAGGTGCCGCAGGTGTGCTCACCCACGAAGGCCCCCCCGCCATCCGCGCAAGTTCCGCCAACACCGCGCTGCGCGCTGCTCCGCTCTCTACTATGCTCTCCGGCTCCGTCATATGCTCATTCTGCCGCTGCTCCGTCGCCGCCGGAGTTTCCGCCGTCCCCCCCGCCGCTGCCGCGGGGGGAACACTGCCGCCAGAGGACTCCGCCGTTGCCGCAGGAGCTGTCGCCGATGCCGCCGCTCCTGCCGCCACTGCGGGGACCCCGCCCGTCCCCCTCGCCGCCGCCGCGGGGACAACACTGCCGCCGGTGGTCGCCGCCGTCGCCGTTGGAGCTACCGCCGCCGATGACGCCGCTCCTGCCGCCACTGCGGGGACCCCGGCCATTCCCCCTACCGACCCCCAAGAACACCAATCTCCCCGAAAGCCCTGGCTGCTGAAGCCGAAGGTGCAGTGTTCGGAGTACGTGGGCACCCCAGCCGGCGTGATGATCTTGTGCATCGTAGAGGAATGATCCTGGCCTGAATTCAAATAGAATCACCGCTCCCCCGTACTGTGCATCTTGGACGGGCGGTGACGGTGACAGAAGCCGGGCGTCATGAACGGCAGAAGCACTCGGGTCCTCCTCCTACCGTGCAGCTTAACCTCCGCGCACTGCTTGTCTTCCGTGCTCACCTCAACTGCGATGTTCAGAGAGACGTTCATCCACGCGAAGGCCTCGGGTCAGATGGCCCGGAAGGACAGCGCCTTGGCCGGGAACGTAACTCCGGGGGAAAGTTTCGGGAACTCCAGAAACGCAGCCTTGCCCCCCTTCATCACTAGTGCAATCCTCCGCTTCACACGACCGTTGCTCTTGGGCCCGTCGACCGCCGTGAGCTCCCGCGTAATGTTCAGCTCCGCCAGCAGCCCCCGAAACTCCGCGTTGACCCACTCCGTGCCGTTGTCGGTCAGAACACAGCCCAGCCCCCCGTGAGTAGCCAAGAGCGATTTGATGGAGGCATACCACGCACGAAAGGCCGCAACCACGTTTGTACTGCTCTTCTCCCGCAGAAAGCAAATCCATCCGTAGTTGGTATGGTGGTCCAGGATCTGCATCACGTACTTGGCACCGCCGCTGGATTGGCCGAACGGACCGGCTAGGTCCATCGCGACACGCTCAAGAGGCCGCGTCGTCCGGCGGGAGGGGGAGATGATCTTTGGTACCGAGCGCTGGATCGCCTTCGATTCTGCGCATCCATCGCAGTACTCCGGGGTGCCGGTCACCTTAGTACCCATTTGCGTGGCGGTCTCGTACAGCGTCTTGGCATTGTCATGACCGAGGGAGCAGAGAAGAGCGTTATTCTCCATGCTGGATTGCGAGACAGGCCGTAGCATCGCCGAAACCATCGCGAGGGGCTGAGGAGGTGAGTCGCGTTGAGGCAGTGGATCAACGCGAGTCCCCTATATGTGTTTCCCGTGAGGGAATTTTGTCATGCGAACCTGCCCCCCCAAGATCGATGCTCCATGCCGGTTAAGCTTGATCTCATGGCGATCCTGGATCTTGTTCAGCGACAGAATATCTAGCGCCAAACCCGGTACCCCACCAACATTCTTCAGGGTGACGCGCACGTCCTCAGGGCGGTGGAAGATAACATCCAAGTCACCGAAACACTCAACTGGGATGTGCTTGCCGTCGCCAATCAAGAGTAGTCGCTCCTCCGGGAGCGGCGGGCGCTTGTTGTATACCTTTTCCTCGGAAGGGACCACGTGGACTACGGCGCCGGTGTCTCCAAGGAAGACCGTCGAACCCGGGCGGTATGGGAAAATGTCGGATGCTTCGCGCAAGGGGGGGGGTAAGGTAACAGAACAGACAAGGTGAGTCGCGAAGAGGCCACCACCGAGGGTACCCTCGCCGTTGCCAAGCGTCTCAGGGTCCGCTCCCGCCGCATCACCACCACCGCTGCCGCCGCCATTTTCACCGTCCACGCCACCGCCGCCGTGGAAAATGTCGACAACATCAAAGTAGGGCTCACCCGGTGTCACGACCTGCTGCTGTACGATCGCCCCACGCTACCGCCGTCATCGCCATCGCCGCTGCCGCCACCGCCAGCACCACCACCACCGCTGCCGCCACCACCAGCCAGCATGGTGTCACTGTAGTGTACGCCATCGACCGCCGGGACATCACAAAATTGGACGGCCGATGCATCCGCGGTGGTGTACACGTACTCTGGACCGATAGCACCAGCAGAAGTGACGACGTTGAGATGGGGATTCCGGTTGCTCTTGGCACAGTTGCGCCACATGTAGCCGTACTGGCCGCATGCACCGCACGTGCCCTCAAACCTGCGGGGGGCGGCGCAATCTGTGGCATGGTGACCGTGCCTTCCACACCGGCCGCATCTGTGCACTGTACCCATCGGCGCGCCAGGTTGAGGTGATGATTCCGGCTGATGATACACGGCATTGCTACCGCAATCGTAGATGCCACCAACACCGTTCATAGTGGGCTGTTACTGCTGCCGCTGCTGCTGCGGCTGCGGCTGTGGCTGCCGGTACGGCTGCATCTGCGACTGTTGGTACGGCTGTCGCTGTCGCATCTGCTGCTGCGACTTTTGGTGCGACTGTTGCATCTGCATCTGATGCTGCGGCTGTCGGTACGACTGTTGCATCTGCCGCTGCGGCTGTTGCGGCTGCCGGTACTGCTGCACCTGCAACTGCGGCTGTTGCTGTTGGACAACGCCGCCCCCAGAGGGCCAGGTGCCCGCGGCCTTCGCCGTTGTTGGCATTCCGCCGTTGGCCTCCGCCCCCCTCGCTTCCCCCGTCGCCACCGTGTCCAAAACCACGGCCCACAACAAGAGCATGGGGGTTGGCAGAAACCGCCGGCGTCGCAGCTGCCGACCCTCGCTCCCTCATCTCGCTGGCCTTGAGCGTAGCATATCGACCACGCACGACGTCCTGCAACTCAGCGCGGGTTACATCACGCTTGGAAAGACTGGGGCGCTTCTCGACATCGTAACGTGCGGGGAGTCGGCGGACAAGGATCTGCACATCTTCCTGCTCACTCTTAGCAATGCCCACAGCCCGCAACTTGGTCTCCAATTGTGCGACGCGCGAGAACAGTTTGGGGTACTCATCATCCTTCATGGGTACATTGTCCAGCTCAGCGACGAGAAGCTGCCAATCAGCTGGGTGGTTCGGCAATAACCAATCCTCCATCATCCTCCACGCTTGTGCCACGGAATGGCAAGAATACAGGTTGTTCTCAAATGGGCCCCCAACCGCTGCCTCCAAGAAAAAACTCCATGTCCTCTTCTGCTCAACAACCAGCTGTGCACCATATAGGCGAGTCAAATATTCATCCTGACAACTGACAACAGGAACCTCAGCACGGCCGGAGATTGTGTGCTGGAAATTATGGTTGTCCACGTAGGCCAGAAAGCGTCTCCGCCTACTGAGAAAGGTGTCGGCGGTGCAATTTGCCGGGATTCTAGGCATAGGAGTTCTGACAGTTATACCTCCCAAAGGCGAACCCGGCACCCCAGTACCACCATCATGACTCATCCCGCCTGGCCATTGGCCTCACCGGTGCAGATAGAGCCCCTCCAGGAGCAACTAGATCGTCGCCTCTTGGGCTACTGCTGCCGGCATGTGCACCAACCGACCCCCGCTGTGCTGCCCTAACCTCCTCCGTCTCAGCCTTGGCAGTATAGCTCGTAGCGCCTCATCCAACCGAGCGCGCACAGCTGCTTCCTCCTACGTTCCAAACGTGTCAAGCTAAAACTCGAAACCCTCCCTGCTGTTCCTGCCTCGAAGCGCTGTCCCAGCTATAAACCCTGCAGTCCCGATCCCCGCAATGGCCACCGCACCAGCTATGCACCGCTGTCCTCGCCCCCTTTGGCCTCGATCCCAGCTATAAAAATGGTGTCCGCTGCCCCCATGGCCCAGCTCCCACCGCTCAGACGCCAACACCCACTACAAACACGAAGGCCTTACAATATTTTGTGCTTGGGTGCGGTAGCTCGTCAGAGGCCGAAAGAGAACGAAGGTTGACTCAAGACCTTGTTGCTCAGAGAGTGAGAGACATGCGGTAGGCAACACCATCGCCAGGCAGCATGCCCATCAAAATATTTCATCCGCGTACCCCCCGGGAGGCCCCGTAGACAGCATACTCTAGCGAGCACCCCAAACAGAATATTGTGGCCGCTTGTTTTGCGGCCACATTTTCCGTTTGAAAAAAATCCAATTCTTGAAGGAGTAGATAGCTTTCCCGCCAACTAAGTTTTAACGAGCCACTGGCCTACTACTGTACCTATTTATACCAAAACTAGTATATTTGGGACAAAATGCCCTCAGAAGAGCAAGAACAGGAGCCGCGGTAAGTCCGCATGGATGGCTTTGTGTATGTCTACGTAGATTTCTATACACACCATGGCCGGCCTACGGACAGCCGTTACGGGGCATGTGCGTGGGTGCCCACGACGCTAGCCAGACCGTGGGCAGCCCATCATTTGGGCGGGTTCCGAGCTGAAGCCGGCACATTTTCCTGATTCCCAGAACTAGGCAAGATAAGGGTTTACAGCTCTGAAAAAATGCACTGTTCAGTTAGGTCACGGGGATCCCGAAAAACATGAAGTTTTTGAACTTGGTCATGGTGGTGGCGAGTTATGCACGAGTACGTGGGTGAAATTGAGGGAAATCGCATCTGCGGGCCCCCCGACGAAAATTCAAACCCTTCCAATCGTATTTAGTTTCAGGGGTGATGGATATGACATTCCTGAACACGTTTTCGAAGTCAGAAATGAACAAAAAACATATCTGCGCTACTTTCGTTCCTTCCAAATACACGCCTTGAAGCAGCCAGAGCTGTCCCTAGGGAAAATAGGCCAATTTGACATCTTCCCACATTCAGTGTTGGTCTGACCAACTTTGTGAGAGGCCCTACCCTCCCTAATTCGACCAAGGGGAACCGGTTGCCGCCGTGGTCTAAGAGCGAAAACATCGGCAATGCGTCGCACAACAAAGTCAGGCCGAGTTCGACACGAAGGAAAACTTTTTCTCCCCACCATTTATTTTTTCGCCTTTTTGGGGGGGTTTCAAAGCGATCGATCTACGAAAGAAATCGATTTTTCAACCAATCCAAAATCCAACGTGGGAAGAGGGGTGCCGGCTTTAGCGCGGAACCCGCCCAATGGACATTTTTTTTGCCCATGATCGCCGGTTGCTTCAGTGCGCGAGTGACCGTCATGGGTTGCCCGTGGGCTGCCAATGGGCAGTGCCCAATACGGGGCAGGGGGCACTGCCCGTGGGTTGCGAAGGTGCCAATGGGTGCCCATAGACAGCCCATGGGTAAACCCATGATGGGCAAGTGCGTAAGTGCCCACCATGGGCTGCCCATGGGCTGCCCACGATAGGCACGTGCCCACCATGATGGGCAGTCGCGTGAGTGCCCATCATGGGCAGGTGTATAAGTGCCACGGTGGGCTGCCCATGGGTTGCCCACCATGGTGCACGTGCCCATGGGCTGGGCTGCCCACGTATGCCCGCCCATGGGCAGCCCATGGGCTGGCCCATGGGCTGGCCCATGGGCTGGCCCATGGGTCACCCATGGGTAGCCCATTGGCAGCCCATTGGCAGCCCATGAGCGGCTCATGGGTGACCTATGGGTGCCCCATGGGCCGCCCGTGAGTCATTTGGGAAAACTGTCAGAAGTGTGGGAGATTGAGCGTGTTCAGGCAACTACCACAACGGCTTCCGTTCTTCGCCCCTTCCGTTGGGTACCGTATCCACAACACGAGGCCCGGTTAGGAGAAACCTGGACATCATCAACGAAGAAAGCGGTTCTTTCCGCAAACGGTCGAGCGAGACTCAGGTCAGTGCTCTAAGGACTACGGCATGCACGGCTATGAGTACACCCCCATGCTTCCTCCCGCATCGCCTTGCCGCAAGGACAGCAACCGATTCTTCAGAGTTTTTAGTCCAAAAAACATGCATCAAAGCGGCACGCATCGAGACTGCGCGACCACAAGCACCGAAGCAACGGAAAACGAACAGATTGGGAAAATGGTCAAGATGGACAAACCTGTACATTAAAAACGCAAGACATCAGCACGAGTTTCCAATTCTCGCATGATGGTCGGAAAAGCGCGAGAAACCGTGAACACCCCACTATAAACAACGGACTGTAGGGTTCCCAATCCGTACATGTGCGGAGAGACGCCTGCAACACCTTGTTCAGCACAAACCTTGGTACAAGTCACTGGTGGTGAGCCCCCAAACGGCGCCTCCCCTCGCACCGAATACACGACCCTCAACAACAAACGATGACGTCCAAGGTGAACTCAGCACGCTTTCCCGGGTCCCAACGTTACAATCCCCCCCACAAACCCTCTTCTCGCGTCGTCCACGCTTCCTTCGCCTTCAGCTCAATATCCACCTTAGCCCTGTCCTCCTCTGACTGCTGCGGCCGAAGGTCTACGGTTTCGTCGATGGCGTGTGCCCAGCTGTCTAGAGATGCCTCGGAGTCCACCTGGCACAGGAGTGATGTATCCTCCCAGCTAGATCAAGATCATTCGAGCGAAAAACAGAGCGGAAAGGAGGGGTCAAGGATGTTCGCCTCGTCCGACGCCAGTTCATGTTGATCAACCATCGCGCTCAACACGGAGTGTACTGCATCATGAGGAGATACGAATGTTGACATGAGGTCCCTGCATTTTCATTGCACCGATATGCCGTCTACCCCGCCCCAATATCATATGACCAAGCCAAGCCGCGCTTTCGTGGGTACTTTGACGTGGACAAGTGCTTCTTTTTGCATTCGTCCCGTGTGATCCCGGCTGTGCATCAAACATCATCCGGGGACATACACTGAATGATGTAGACTGGCGCTCAAAAAAGGAACGATGAAAACAACACACACAAGACACAGCGTATTTTTCATGAAACACGAAGGACTTTGACCACTGAAGGCATCGTTCAAGAACAAGAGTCGGAAACGATTTTCATTTTGATCTCGCACGGTTTCAGTCAATGCGGACTCGTGACCCATGATCGGAGATAATGGGGTCAAAATAGCCCATGCCCCACCCACACTATGCGAATGGCAAACGACAGCGGTTCTCAATGGGTCGCAAGCGAGAAACAAAATAAAAAACATCCTCCACACCCTAGACAACAGACCACGTGCGCTGCTCTTGTATTATGGAGTCTTGTACTAGATTTTTACACCGACTATCTTCGTTTCGGCCCGAAACGTTCCGATAACGAGGTAGTCGCAAGGCGATGCCACTGCACTTTGTTGTTTTTCCAACCAAAACTAGTGATTGCCTCTTATGAACGATATGGGCTACACCCACACGTGGGCGCTATCGGGTCTGCCCACCCGTCCTGCCCCACTTTTAACTCACAACTGTCAGAGGGGGATCATGTCATGCTTTCCTGTCCCGTTTATCGCAAGGTTGGTTGTTTGCCGGTGGAAAAGCGATCAGCTCGGGTGGCAGCAACCGGATTCCACATGTTTAACGCCTGCGGGCGGCCTGGTGCACTCTCCGCTGCATCGCTACCGTCGACACCACCATGAAAAAATGAACTCGGCGCACTCGTAAAACAGTTCTTACGCACCCCAGGTGCACAAGGTGTCGCCACGGGTGCTCAGGGAGCGAAAGATGAGTCAGGCGCTCACCGAAAACCTTATTTCTGCGATGGCTTGTTCCAAAAGGTACCCAAGGAGCGTTCCAACGCAGTCAAAATCAATCAAAGAAGCGTATTCCTCATTTGACCCAAAAGCAGGTGACACCCATGTCGATCCGACTCTCGACAATGAACTTCTGACAGAAAAACCTTCATGCTTATCGTGTTAAAGTCACTGTCTTTATCCAGTGGCAAGTGAGCTGGAAGAAAGTAACGGCTGCGTTCAGATCGTCAGAGCAACGGTGGGAGAAGAGAGGGCTCAAGAAAGGGTTGCAGGGATGACTGTGATGAAGCCAGTAAAAAGTAGCAATCACCTTAAGAGCGCAAAGCGAAGTCGGCTAGAAACCGACCCAGTGCAGGGCAACAATGCTATGCACAGCATGAGAGCAACAGATGATGAGGCAGCAATTTTCTTCTTGTGCCTCAGACGCAGGACTCTGTCGTCCAATTCCTGCGCCCCGCTTTGTCGATAGAACCATTTGACTACCAAGCGTCTTCCTGTTTTGTATCCCGCATCAAGACTGACGTTCTTCATCGGTGAGCCGGCTAGCGCAAGCGATGGTATTTCAAAAAAAGACACGAGGTCGCAACTGTGATTTCTCCGACTTGAGAGCGGACCGAAGCAAAAGGGGGAAAGGCTAACGTAGAGACACCCTATTCAGAAGCACTTGCGTGGTGAGGCAAGCAGATGAGTTCAGTCGCACCAAGCCGATGCAACGACCTATTGTTAAGGGCCTGCAAAACATTCAACTCCCCTAGAAAAGTGCGGTAAAGTGTTTAAAGTGGATTTTGGTTGCGCTCCACGAGGGCGAGACTGATCGCGGCAGTATCTCAGCCAATGACACAAGTATTCTTGCTGCCGCACGACCATGGAGCACGTGCTCTCATTCCCAACTGACTCCATCCGCGGGTTTTCTCGTCTGGGAAGCTTTTGTTCTCTTACCTCCTCTCTGCCCCTACCCTCCCGCGTTCTGTTCCGTACTCGCACTTAACTTCACAAGCTATGATGCCACCCCCACCTTCAGCGAGACGACAAGAGCAGGACAACTGGGCACATGCGCTTGGTGTACGCTAGGAGAAAACATTATCCCGCCAAAAAATATCATCATCTGTCCTTTTGCTTGTCATATGTATTGGCACACGTTCTTCATCACCTGACGAGAAAGAAGCGATTCCCGTCCTTTTCAACGTCCGTCTTGCGCATGTCCACACGTCGAACACGGACCTTCTAGTCGAAACGCGAAGCCAGAGGGAAACGCGCGTGGGGGAAACGATTCTCTGCCCGACGTACTCACTACTTGCGACACGGTGAACACACAAGAGCAGCAAGAGAGGTCACACAACGACATCAGGACGGGCCATTTGGTAGGCTTAGTTCCTCACGTCGATATTATAGATATCACGTCGTTCATTATCGGTATCGCCTTGTGTCGTCGACGCCGTCCTCGAGTTGACAAAGCGAAGAACTTGGTTTCCTAGCGGAAATTGTTCAAGGCTGCTGACGGAACATTGCCATGGGGTTGTCCACGACAACTACAACAGTGACGTCGGCAACAGATCTGTAACGTACCAACCGACCGTTGATTCTCACTGGCGAACAAAATGCCGCCGAGAGCGGGGGATCAATTCCGAGCCGCGAACCAACGTGGACTAAGATGACGTGAACGACAACGACCAAGCACGAGAGGCCTGCTCATCCCCGACACCTCCTTTTCGTGTCCCATGCACACGACTTCTATCTTCCCGCCGCTGTCCTCCTCCTCTGCGCGTCCCCTTCTCTAGTGACTCTCCTCACCTGCGAGCCGATAGTCCTCTTATCAGGCAAGGCCCACAAGGGCTTTTCCGGGTCGTCCTCGGGGCCATAGTACACTAAAAAAACAGGCCCTGGCGAAACTATCGCGTGGGCGCTTCCAATCGTAGCAAGGTCATGGGGTGCAGCGTGGAGGCATGACAGCGATGCAACGGTAGGGCATCCCAAAAAAGTTAGTCGGCACAAGTGTGGATATCAGATGGTACATAATCCCTTTTTCATTTCGAACACACACACAAACTAGTAAAGCCGCATGGGGTCCTCGGAAAAACGCTGATGTCCCTTGTACCTTTGCGAGGTGAGAGGTGAGATCCAGTACCTGCGAAGGACTGCTGTCGGGGCCCTGAGCTTGAGGTGGGGTCTACTCCCCCTCTAGCTCATTCTCACCTTACCCTCGCTAGTGAAGCCAGAAGCTTGACCAGCTCGGCACCCTACACGCAACACGCAAGGAACTATATACAGTGGAGGAACAAGGCCACGCTGCCGAGCAGGTCGACTCCATCGAATAGAAGGGATCAATGTTGCCGTCTGACGACCGGACACGGACTGCAGTGCTTCGTTGAGGCTGGTGGATACACACAAATTCCATGGAATCGATTGCCTGAGCATGGAGGCGAAAAACGTAACCGCCAATTCACTTTGGCCTCGTAGCAGTGCCACGTTCATCGAGCCGCACGTTCATGTCCAACAGACCAAACACTGTGATGTGGTCGTTGGCAGCATGTCCAGGAAGCGCCCTGGCAGCTTGGACGCACAAACCATGTACTGCCCCCGCAAGCAGGCATCATTTCGGGAAAAGGCCGAGCGCTCTTGGTCACTATGGCGCGCTACCGAAGGCTATCCCTGTTCATAAGCAACGAGAGTCACCCCATTATATCATGACACGAGCATCACCACAACACGCGTACCATCCCACCTGATCCATCCAAGTAAGTGTAGCCCCGCGTCAACGAAGTTAATGACGGGTTTATATGCCCCCTTCCACGCTCGCACCCAGAGTCTACCCTCCTGTGGCGAATGCAATCGGTGTCGCACGTAGTGAATGACATGAGCATTCCGGTCAAGTGTCAGTCGAGTAGACAGGGAAAGTGCCTGGAAAGTTGGCCTTCACTTGGTGTGAATCGGGGAAAGGGACAAGGGACATGCGATGAAGCGAAATGCTCAACCGTGGGCCCCCACAACACCTGTACTCATGGGAGTCACACGTGGTAAAAGAGCGTATACAGAAACAAAACGGCTGGCAGGAAGTCGTCTAAATCTAGTTACACGAACGGAGAAAACGCAATGAAATTAGGGAAGGATATCACCCAACAGGAGCAGCAGGGTTAACCGTTATGCAGTTTGGATGGCACAGGGAAAAGTATGGAAGGAAAGGATTCGACCGCCGTGTATCCCACCCGGCGCAGACCTACCTTGAGGACGCACTCTGGGCCATGATGTCGGCCATACGCACCGAGACCTCTCAGCGCCGGCTCAAGCTCCAAGAAGGATGACAACGCGCGGTGCTCAAGGGCGGCACTTAACACACACGTATAGGAGGGGTGAAAAGCATAATGGGGCCAAACGAGTTCCGTGCGGAGAACGATCTACGGTTAGGAAGTAACAGGAAGCAAAATGGGTGGCGCTCAGGAGTAGAGAAAATCCACCCGTCCTGTGGATAATGTTTTTCCTCCGGTTTGCGCCAGGCACTTGAGCTTGAAACGGATCGTGGCTTGAGGCTCGAACTACAACCTAAATTACTTCGGTTGTATCGACAAAAACGTACCCTTGACGAGGAGATGCATTGACGCTCCGGTGTTGGTGCAACGGATCACGCAACCCACACACAGTGTGATCTCGAGCATGCGCCGCTACCGACCAGCAAAAATGGCGTAAGGACCAACGCATGTTGATACTATGTTTCGCGATCGGTGGCCGAAAATATTTGATATAATGCCATTTCGCCTGTTTTCGTGCTTCGTGACATACAGAACGCGCCACCACTTTAGAACTCAGGAGTTAAGAACTTGAGCCTCAAATAAACCAAAATGCAAGAACTTGGTCAAAACAACAGGTGCTCAGTTCCGACGTGGCATGAAGAACAAGAACCCGTCCTCATGGTGTACCAAAGCACGCACAGATAAGAACGGAGCCCCAAAACGCGTCAGCTGCAAGATAAGAACTCAGGAAGGTATAGGGTGACCCAAACATCAGTTTTGTTTCAGATTCGAGGCGGGGAGGGGCAGAGACCCTCGTGATCAAATGATTGTACGCCTGACGCCCGGAGGGGGAGGGCGTACTCTCTCTCATGTTTCGCATGCCTTGGAGGTTAGACCATCGACCACACGTCCTCGAGAGGACGCATAATTGTGCCCACAGGAACGATCACCGATGGCATCATTCCTTCCTGTATACTTCAAAGTACTTTGCCAAAGGTGGCTCAATATGTGTCCCCTAGTCTATCTCGATACCACGTCCCGCCTTTCAACCCACTTGCTATGCCCCAGTACAGCTACCGTCTTCTCCTGGCTATTCCATGCCTCAAGCATATCCCTGTGTACTTTTCCTTCTACGTGTCCAACTCAGCCATGTACATGTCTCTACCCTTGTCGCTCAACACAGACGTTTCGCAACGTCATGAAACCGGTCTTTGCACTCGGAGCCGCATGCACATCTACTCGAACATGTCTTCATGGTCTTCCTTCCCGAATATCGTCGACGTTCTCACATGCCGTTGTCCCTAGTCCCAATTTTGACCCTTGGCTTTGTCCCTCCATCCATTGCTCCGTGTAGGTACCTATTCCTTCTTTCAACATCCGTACACATCTAGACCCTCCTTACCGTTGCTTCCTATTGTTAGTTGTGTTCTCTCTCGGCAAAGTAGCAGATTTCTTGTCCTCGAACCCCTACAGACCTATACCGTTCGTTTTTAATGTATCAACCTCATCGATTTTGGGCTATTCCATTCGACATCTACAACCTTAATCCACTCCCTGGGTTGTTTACCCCTAATCTTGTTTGTCCTCTTCGCCTCCCGAGCTTCTCTTGGTAACCTCTCCTGTCCCATATCGTACACCATGTGGTACTTCTTGCCATCGAGCTTCCTTATGCCTCTTCCCGATCGCAGAAGTTGGATCCGAAAGGGTCTCTCTCTCTCTCTCTCTCTCTCTCTCTCTCTCTCTCTCTCTTCCCCCTCTCTCATGTTTTGGATGCCATTGATCACCCGTCCTCGACTGGACGCAGTATTGTTCCTACAGGACCGATCACCGATCGTTCGATCCTTCCTTCCAAAAAAAATGGCTCGTTGGTGTTTTCCCTAGTCTTATCTATCCTATCGATATCAGTTCCCACCTGTTCAACCAATTTCCTATGCCCCAGTACAGCTACCGTCTTCTCCTGACCATTCCATGTCTCAAAAACATGTCTCGTACCTTTTCCTTGTACATTCCCCAGCTCACTTATCATGTGTGTTTCCCCTTCCTTGTACAACGGACATTCCGCAACTACATGAACATGGTCTCCGCACTCGGAGCCGCATTTGCGTGTAGATTTGTTGTCTTTATCGTCTACGTTCCCAAGTTTTCGTCTAGATTCTCGAAGGTAAATGTCCCCAGTCCTAAATTTGACTTTCAGCTATGTCCCTGAATCCATTGGTCCATGAAGAAGGTACCCCTTAAATCTATTCCTTCTTTCAACATTGCGTACACATGCAGGCCCTCCATATCCTTGGTGTCTTTGGTTAGGTTATGTTCTCTCTCGGCAAAAGCAACAGACATCTTCTCCCTGAACCCTTTAGGACCCTGCGTTTCTAGTGTATCGCCTTCGTCAATTTTGGACTCCTTCCAGGCGTCATCTACAACATTAACCCACACTCCGAAGGTTGGTACGCCCATTCCTCTTGTTTACCCAGTTCGCCTCTTAAGCTGTTCTCGGCAACCTGTCCTTTCTCTACCGTATGTACTCGTACATACATGCGGTATTAGGACTAGGGTTAACCCTAACCCTAAGTACTAGGACTAGGAGGGGAATATACGACTGTACTGTACACTTGCATCAGTAGTGTTTCGTGATGACATCCGCCCAGAAAGAACTGTGTCCTCTGCACGAGCAATCGTTTTACATGAAATAAGAACAAGAACCCCGTTTACTATAGGTGGATGCCTGCCCCAAATAAGAACTTGGCATAGAAGAACATGTGTTCGGTTGGAAGCAAGCACTAAGCGTCGAGCCTCGAGCTAAATAAGCGGTTCTAAAGTGGCGGCGCGTTCTGTACTTCGCTGGCGGGAGCGAGTCTATTCTCGCGCTCCCTTCTTGGAGGCACGCAGGAGGATCGTCGGTACATTAACACGCACGCCCGAGGACCGCCAGCCACCCGTGGCGCTTGTGCTTGACGCCTAAAGTTGAAAAAACTGGCTCAACACCCCGGGGACGTGTTCCGCGTGAAGAAAGCCTTCGCAACAAATGATACAAGAAAACTGCTTTTGCTTTGATTCCTGCGCAAGGCACACAAGTCCTAAGGACTGGGCATTCAGATAAACAAGAATGAGTAATCAAACGCAGCGGATAACAGCAGTAGCATAGCAGCAAAGACGTCACTACCACCCTAAAAGTACACACTCTCGCACACGCGAAACGTCACGGCGAGGAAAACCAATACCCCGCACATGATGTAGAATTCCAGGCAATTTTTGCAGGTAGCCCGATTCACGGTACGTCTTGAAGGCTCCAGCGTCGGACACATGATTCATTGCTGGTGGTCCGATGGTAGTGTGTTGCTTGTGCAGGTGCACCTCATACGATATGAGTGTTGTTGACAAGTGGAACTGGTTGTGCACAAGCTTGATGACGAAAACCACCTGCTTTCGAGTCATTGATTGGTTGTTTTGAATGGAATGACTACATTCGGCAAACGAACACAGACACCTCTAGCCCTGAAGATATCTACTCTCGAGGCCTGACTATGTAGTATGTTCGTTTCGATAGTATTGAACAAACGAGTCAACATGCCCACCGCCGCACTTTCTTCGTGTTGTACTCGGCACGGACCTGCACGTGACGAGGCGATCCAGGTAGACTTGGAGCAGCTTGAGACGCTTCGCGACCACTCCTCCGTGCCTCCCCCCGAACACCTGTTGTCGCCATCGCCGGGACCGAAAAAGTCGGTTGCTGGATGCGATTGCACGTGATCTGTCGTTCTCCCAATGGCAACAGAGTCGACGCCACGTAGCAGTGCCGCGGGCGCACCTCAGGTGCAAACGAACATTCCGGTAGGGTAGGTAGATCCTGACCATCACTGCTCCCGGTTGCCGAGGATATATCCCTAATCCGACCAACACCCAACACCACTGCCTGACCCACAAACAGCAATCATTCCAAGGAGTGCAATCAGGGCATTTTAACGGCTGAAATACGAGTCGCACCTCTTTCGGAGGCAGCACGTACGCGTTCGCATCCGGTTCTCTGGAAAGTACGGGCAGCAGCCCTCGATGCAAGGCTTCGAACTGCCGAAACCGACGCAGCACCATCCACTGCTCCCCTACTGCTCGATCTGTAACCTGTGTCAACACGAAATATTGCAGGCATCGTACGAAGAGGGTCGCGTTCAGCGTGTTGCGGAGGGTGTACTCATAGCCGTATATGCCGTAGTGACCGTTGACCTCGCATACCTACAAAGCCGGGCGGCGGAGCACCCCGGGTTCTCACCGGACCAGGCTGTCATTACACCAAGCGCGAAGCGTCGTGAGGTATTTGGCGAGTCGCATTGAGTGTGTGCCGCATCCTGCTCAGGGTGTTCGGCATCTTGTTCGTACTTCCTTGCATATGGATGACAGCCGCGAATGATTTTACTTTTATCTTTTCTGGTTCTTCCACTTCCAGAGACAGTTACAAGCGCTGTGAAACTGCCTCGAGGGTGCCTGACCAATTTATACGTTCATCCCCTTCGCGCGGAGTAACGGTTTCGACCCCGCACAACATGATCTATGTGACCACCATGATGGTTACCGTGAACAAACCCAGAAAGGAAAAAAACAAGCGGTAACCTGGTTGTCGAGCTCACGAAGCGATCGGCGTGTTTTGTAACGTCGTTGCCAAGCGACGAACACCCAATCGTTGCCAAGCGACGAACACCCACGTTGCGGGGGGGGGCGGGTATTGTGACAAGATGAGCCTGAATGAAGCACCACATCTTGACAAGTTCTGTCCGTCGCTGCTGGAGCACCGTACTGGGCCGGTCGAGACAAAGAGGTTGGAACGCTCAACAGCATGAACGAGCGACAAGACCAGCTTGATGTTCACGTGTGCATACCGTTTAACGCGGAAGGCTCGAAATGAGTGCTTGGCATGTATTGACGGTTCGCCCAGAGACCAAGGTCGGGAACGGCAAATGGCAGTACAAAACCGTGGTTTAGTACCAACGGGGAGTTTGGCCAAGAAGGCTCATACTTTCCAGCAAATGTAAGGTCTTACATGCTTTTGAGCGTCTCCTCGAAACTGAAGGTATCAACCGCGTACAATCGACGCACGCCAGCATGTGACTCGACCGCCCCAACACTGATGCATCAACACCAATTGCGCCTCCGACTGCATGGGCACTCGACGTGAGCGACGCTTCGCACTCCTTTTTACTTCACCTGTAATCTATACACCGTGTGGCCTCCGAGTCCCTTGCCGAGCTCTTGAGCTCCCTCGAGCGACACTTGTAACCGGGCATCCTCTCCTCCGGACACTGGCAGCTCCCCGCCGCCACCTTGACGCGTGCTGAAATCGTCGTCCCCTGTTGTGGCGGATCTGTCCCGCCTACCTCCCGGCAACATAGAGGGCCACCGAATACCCAAAAACCGCCTGGAAGTGGTGGTGGTGTACTCTGTGGTGGACTGCTGCCGTTGCTGCCTGTCTAATTCGGAGCCACTCCTCATCAAAGAAGATGTCGGGTGGCTGTTGTTGCTGTTGTTTGAAATTCTCTCCGCTGTTGACCGTGCTGCTGCCGATGCTGAACCCCATCTCCACCTCTTCTCTCGCCGATATTCTTGCCCTCTCAGCGCAGGCCGATCTATCCCCGCCGCCGCAAGCTGTTGCTTATACTGGGAAGGGGATACCGGTCCGTAGGCGAACGCTGGCTGCGTGGTAATCACGCCCTTCTCCGATTGCAGGGCTTCCTGCTGCTGCTGCTGCTGCTGCTGCTGCTGCAACCAACTCCAGTGCTCCCCTAGGCTACCCCTATCCATGGGAGGGGCCGTATCGGATTCCGGTAGGACGGGCGACCAAAAAGTGTCCGTTGCTGACCCTCCTCCAGCCACCCAGCCTCCCCCCGCCTCTATACTGCTCCCGCTTACAAGAAGGGGCCTGCTGCTACCGGAAATCCTCGCACTGCTGGACGTCAAAGCCGCAGAAGGAGGAAGTGGGGTAGGCGAGGGGGACGGGGTTGCCCTCCCTTCCCACAGAGCTCGAGAAGGGTGATGGTGGTGGCTAGTGTCCTCTACTAGCCCTAGTCCCGGCACCACCATCCTCGAAGAAAACCCGTCCCTCGTTGATGCTGATGATACCGAGGAGGCCATGGCCACTGGCGGTCGTGAACCCGCTGGTGTTTCGAACGGAAAGAGCAACAGCAGTTCAACGAACAAGAAACGGTACGTGAGAACAAGGTGCTGAGCGTGGTTTTCACGTGTTGGTGCAACAATCGCTTGCGGTAGTACACATTACACTTACCAATGCCAATGCAAAGGTTAATCCTCCCGGCTTTCCTTGGAAAGCGCTCTCTCTCTTCATACTCCTAGGTGTAGGCGAGACGTGTGGATGCACACGTCAGAGGAGAAGTAGGTCCTGTTGGCACCTGTCGGCGATGCTCGCCTTCCAGAAGCCTGGGAGGCTAGGCTGAGCCAAAAACGTTCCGAACCGGGCAGGTGACGTCCCTCAGGGCAAATCGACAACAGGTTTGCCCAACAGCTGTTGCCCAACGTTGCCAGGTGCCGTCAGGTAGAGCTTGTCAAGAGGGCACTTCTACTATGCTATGTCAGCAACAGGGTGTTTTTCCTCATATTCCAAATGCGATATTTCATTTCTACGAGAAGCAAGCTTGAATCCGCCACCGGGAGGCGTAGTAAAATAGTGATACTTCGGAACTCAATGCTGCTGTATACGTCTAATGGTTGTGCCACGCTTTCACCCGAGCGGGGGGTGATTTTCAACGGTATTTCCTCTGCCATCTTTCATTTCGAACACGAAAATGTAAAACATGGGTACCTGTGTACGCGCAGTCATCTATTGGCCATGGAAGGCATTCGCGCCAATTGGTGAACAGGACGGGCATATGAAAGGTCAAGTCACCAGAGATCGGGACCGGTAACAGGTGTTGCTGAGTAGGTTGTTTCATTTTCCCTTGGACGAGGACACTCGAAGTAAAAAAATAACCATATATTCAAAAATTCTAGTTCTGCACGAAATACCCACAGGTGGCTACAATTACACACAGCATGCGTACCGTAGACGACAGAAGATAACACACCCACATAAGAAACCACACCCCATAAAGAAAACGACACCCCGGTGATAATTTTGGGCGTTTCTGACAAACCATCGATTTATCACCGGGGCTACATAAGATAACACACCGATTGAGGTTACGCCGCATACAATCACGGGGCTCCTCCTTTTATCACCGGTGTGACACAACATCTGCCCCGTGGGCATGTGCGCATCTCACACACACAACATCTGCGCAGCTCTCCTTTGGTCGTACCCAATAGCAAGGTAGCAGGAGCCTACTTTTGGGGGTGAGGGGGTAGGACGGATGGCGCACTCTGGCCACCGAGTCATGTGCTCAGGAGTTTCGCCACCTCCGTTGAGCTCCTTTGTTTTACCACATCCCGCAAAACCACAAGTCATGAAGTGCTCGTACAGGCATGTTATCACACCCCCGCAATACCAATGACGTGTGCGGCAGCAGCGGTTCAACTCTACAAGAAGTGTTATAACACCTCGTTTTTATCACACACCCTCATTATCACACACACAAACACACCCTTTGGGTATTCGGACGTGCCATCACACCCCATTTTTATCAAACCTCGGGACGCAGAGGAAGCCCTCAGTAAGCGAAACAAACACGCAAAACCGCTGGGGGGGCAAGACCGCATTGACGAGGGAAGGGAGCCACACACACAGCTCGTGGCGGATGTTATCGCCACGGCTGTCGCTTTGGCGTGTGGGGAGAGGGATCATCGGAAAACGAAACTTTGCGCCTGGGGCAAAAAAACTACGAACGAACTCTGATGATCCCAGCACAGACAGACTCGGCGTTTTGTTTTTTTTACAGGCTGTGCCAAACGCTCGCGTTTCTGGGCGTACTACAGCCTCCTCGTCGGTGTTAATCTCCACAAAAGACGGAGCATGGATACAGCTCGTGGCGGATACCATTGTTAGCCTTGTTACTTTCGTGTGTCAGGAGGGGTCACCCGGAAACAAAATTGCTGCTGTCCAAGGGGCAAAATAAACAGTATTTTTAGTACCCAGCGCCATCCATGGCGTTTTTCCAGCGTGCATGCACTGCCGAATAGAAGTACGAGAGATAGATGGGAGTCATTGCCATCACAGCGAAGCAGCAGCACCACAAGCGCATTTGTGTAAGCTATGCAATACCGATTTTCATTTGTGTCTTGTGTCAGTGCTGTGCTGTTAGGTGCCGATCGTTGGAGGAACCACAGCTCGGAGGTACTGCTGTTTGTTGCGAGGCGAGCATGTTCCTCCGCTGTTGATTAGTGCTGTAACACATTATTGTCAACCAACTTCCAGCGGAAGCAGGGTACAAGGTCGTGGAAGATGCCTGGAAGGCAGAGTATCTCGCACCTTGCACAGCATCGCAGATACTCTACTGCAAGGTATTGAGTCGTCACCCGCGGCTCATTACCCCCCCGTATCTAGTACTACACTGCTGTATCGCTGTATTTTCACCAGTAAGGTGATTGGTATACATTGTATGTGTTGGATGCATACAATATTATGTAAGTACTTCCTAGAAAGTGCCGGGTTGTAGCAATGTATCTGTAGCCCCGGTGGTCTAGTGGTTTCCTCGTAACCCGAAAGTCGCAGAGGTCGTTAGTTCGAATCCCCATGGGGTGAACGATTTGCAAAATCTGCGGGTGAAGGCGAAAGATAGCTGACAAGCTCTCGTCAGTACCAAACTTCGACGTTAGCACCGTTCACGAGGGAAAGGGACGGCCGGACCCTTCTCGAAAATAAAAAAAAATTAGCACGCACCGCAGGAGGAAGGTGAGGCATGAAAAGAAAAAAAAAGAAGAAAAAAACCCTGGTGCTTGCCCCCCTCCTGTGTGACCCTGGATGTAGTTGTACGAAGATATACACTGAAAAGTGTAGTACTCTACACACGCTGAACAGTGTAGTACACGTCTCACCACGAAAAATGGGGGGAGTGTCGCCATAATGAAGAGGACGAAAACACGACACACACACATGCATATAACGTCGGTCAACCCGACTATTTTACTGCTGTAGGTAATCTCACGCACAGAAGTATACGGAAGTCGAATGTCCGCTTCCGTTGCGATTCTGCAACATCTGTACATAAAATTCAGCCTGAGACATGGATAAAGCGGCCAGGGGTTGCTTACTCACAACACAACATGAGGGCCTTCGTAGCGTGATTAGATTATGTGCACTGCTGTAGTGTACCTGCCCGCGGCTGCAGCGGCCAAAGAGGCTGTTGAACCAGCAGCACAGCGCGAGGTGAACACTTGCAAGTCGCATTTTGGGTGAAACATGCACGCACCATGCCCTACTTGAAAACTCACCACGGCCACCCGCTACATCCGCGCTATCAGCACTCGCCACGGAGACGCTCAAATCCCTGTCAGGAGACGGGGCAAGCCCCAGCATCGCGCGGGCGCTCGCTGATGATGTTCTCGTCGTCTGCTTCTTCTCCATGTTCTAGCAAGTAGAATTCGAACTGCAGTGTGGACGTGTGCAAAACCGCTTCGTTGTACAACAGAGAAACGTCTGGGTGTGCTGTGTACCGGCAGTCGGGGCTCTCTGTCCCACTTTGCGGAAGTTGCCCCCTGTCTATGCCCAACTGCAACACAGCAGAGGCCATGCATTGAATGTTCAAGGGTCCAAGCAACAAGGGGGGGGGGCGTCCAGAGACCTCCGTGGACAAAAGTATACCCAAAAAAAAAAGTATATTCCCAGCTCCGTGCCCCCCAGCAAGCGGCAATCGCCAAGGCACACCACGGCAAGACACCGCCCTCCACTGGGCAAGCAAAGCAGAAGGGTGAGACGAGGCTACCAGCTACCGGTAGCAGCATGCTTTCCTTTGTTGCGCCCGGGACGCTGCCGTCCATACCAGCCTCGCACGCCCCACATCCGCACCAGCATTCGTCAGTGGCGTGGGTGGGTTGCGCGTTTTGCGTGACTGGAACGAGAAGCACCGGCAGCAGCAGTACCCGCCGTCAAAGCCGAAGCCGTCCTCGTAGTTGCTCACCTCTGGTATTAGGAAGTGATGGCGGCAGCAGAGCCTGCGGAGGTGACGTCGGTTTGATCGCTGCAACGGCAAGCCGCTGGGGGGCCGATGGCGACGAGCTCGATGGTGGCAATGATGGCAAGGACCGCAGGCGACGGGCGGAACGGAGGAAGCCATTGCGGGCGCCTTGGGAAGACATTCAGTGGAGTAATCCAAGCAATCCAAGCAGCAGGAGAGCAGCCCGAGGTGGTGAGAGGGTTGCATGGAAAGACGTTGACGATGAGGAGGAAGAGGAAGAGATGCTAGGGCTAGAAGATGGGTCAAGGAGCATGGTACAGCCCAGGGGATACACACGGTGAGAGAGCTTCTCCAAGGCTCGCTCCGTTCAGCAGTCTTTGTTCTTGTTTGTACCGAAAGACTGTAGACACCGAGCCCATGTCTCTCACCTTTATTATTACCTTCTCCTCTGGACGTGATGCCTCGGCAACACTGCTGTTGGACGCTTGATTTTCGCTCCTAACTTTCACGCTTACCGTTAATCCTCCTAGCACTGGAAGCCCAGATGGGGATATTCGGTGACACAGCACTCCAAACTCAAATACCTGTCTACCGCACCGCCGTGGCCGTCACATAATCTGTGTTACATACTGCTGTGTGGCCCTCTTGGGCCTGGGGGGCTCTGGCTTGCTGTACTGTACACAATCTCCCAAGCCGCGGCTACCCTTGTTGGTAAGGCTTGGTCAAGCTGCACATGTACATCATCGCCTACATGGAAAAAAATGCCGACTTGGCTTCAGCTATGGAAAATGTCACCGGTGCATTGGGGACTATACTGAAGCCAAGTCAGCCTTGGGCCCTCGAAACCGTACAGCCTCTCCCAATGAGCGGACTCGATATTTTCTGGGTCCATCAACTATAAAGTATGACTAAGTGGTTACTAGGAGGGTTAACAGAAGTAAACCTCCTAATCGTGGAGCCAATGAAGTTAGGGCAGTTTTAGAGCGGATGCCTTGCCTACCCTTGCCATACGAAGATGTGCATGATGGAGGACATGCAATATATGTGGTGTTGAACAGCAGTGCATCAGCTTCTTGTGGTGCTTGCTCGGCACATGCTGAAAGTAACCCTGGGAAAAAAATGAAGAAGATATCCATTGTGTCTGATACGTACATCGTACATATCGCTCTAGTCTCAGATGAATTCAAAGACGAGCTCGATCAGTCATCAACAAGTAGAAACGGGTAACTTCTCGGAGGCAGCCGTAGTTCGTCTGCCATTGTACTCGGTGGGCACAACACTGCTGTCTGTTGTTAACTCGAGGATATCGCCGAGCGAGAAGTGCAGCATGCACACCGCCCTGTTTGTCAGGCTAAGGTAGCGTGGATGAGCGAACACGGGTCAAGGAAAGCAGAACAGAACTAAACGATGTCATGTATCGTGGCATAATGGTAGGAGAGGGTTCAAAGGCCGGGACCAGGGGGCGCACAGACAGCTAGCTAGGTCGCAGGCATGGTGCATCTCATCGTTCAGACCCTGCGCTGGTGCGTTATCAAGTCTGGCGGGGCTGGTGTGTGATGGGGACCACTCATGCAACGGCTGTGCCCAATGGTATCTACGCTGTTGGGTGAGCATTATGCGCGGCTTTTCCTCCGTCGAGGGTTCGATGTCGGAGAATTCAACTGGTTATGTCAACTTCTCTCTTTCATCGGCCAGAGAGTTGACAAGCCAGATTTGCTCTCTTAAACCGTACCTTTCTCTTAAATCGCCTCTCTTAATCCGTAGCCGCCACTGTATGTTGAGCACGTGGGATCGGATGAACCTGACATGGGATTTCGCGAAACGATATGCATCGTTAATCGTAATTTGCGACACCCACATGCCTAATCGAGGTTTAGCAACACCAAGTGCCGCGGAATTGCTACCGCGAGGTGACGTGGTCATGAAGCAGGTAGAGCGATAGACCATGTGCACCACGCGGGAGGTGTAAAAATATTTCAGGACACACCTGCAGCTAACGCATCAGTAGAGGTCGTGCCAGTGGTCCAAGCCTATTTTCGGGTGAGAGTTTTTTGCGGCCCTCACACGTGAATAACTGGGGTCAGCCATGTCCAATCTGGGAAGGGATGAAGCAGTGTTGACCCCGCTGAAACCGGGGGCATATATGGTCGTCTGTTTAGGCCCGAACACCTGTGCGGTTGTAATGGCGCAATAGAGCCATTTAAAGTACAGCGGTGACGGCGAATCGCTCTGGGGTCTAGATCAACGGGAAGGCCTCAATGCCTCCAGTGCTTGAAATGCTATGCTTACCATCTCCTGAACGAAGCGCTGACAGCTGTAGATGCTAGTGTAGAGGGGAGAAGCTGGTCCTGCGTTCGCGGGCATGGCGTGGGCTCCACGCATATCGCATCGGACAACGATATGGTTCGTACCTTCCCAAGATTGTTTGTGAGTACACCAGCACTGGTGTGTCGTGATGGTCACGTTGTCTGTCCCACGGTCGCATCCACTCGTGATTGGATTTTGAACGTTGGACAGGAGTTACGATGACGCCGACGTTGACACCCGACCGCGGCGTCGAAGATCGAGAGACGACATCGACGCCGAGCCCGTCCCGACGGGCTGGGACACGGCGCAATGGTTCACTGGGGCGCAGGAGGCAAATCAGGGTGGGCTTTATGAGTGGGCGAGAAGGTGCGTGTATGCTCATTGTATTGAACGTGAACATGTTAAGGGTGGTGATTTTCATATGAGCGTCACCTCCAGAGACGTGCGCACGCCACTCAAGGGACGCAAACAGCGACCGACGAGAACACAAGGTCCGGTGGGAGGGCATATCCGGGACGCGTGCAACATTTGCCAAGGAAACGCCGTTGCGCCAAGATCAGTCCTGCCGCTACAGTACTGCTCGACATGAACCGGGTGCTGTAGCGAGTGGCGTTGGTTGGAGGACACTTGTTGTTGTGCACGCGTACATGACATGTCGGCGACGTCTGTGCCGCCTCCCCACCGCTATCCACCCCAACCGCCCAGTTTTTACAACACCCTCTTCTGGTACGGAGGAGCGTCGTCCGAGGGAGAGGATGAACTGCCCGCGATGAACTTCCAGGACCTGTTGGAGCGCTTCGACTTGCCTGCGGGCGAACAGTCGTCGGCAAGACCGCGGGTGAGAGAGGGTCACCATCGCGCACCAGCTGGGTGCAGCGGTAAAGTGTAACTTCGGCTATTATGATGTATGTCATAATGGTATTGATAGCAATCAATCTGGCTTGTGACTTTCTTGCTGTGCGACCGGGGCGCTTGCGTTCGAAGAGGTGTTGACCAACGCGTCCAGATCAGTTGGTATAAAACTCACCCACACATTGGTCAGCCGATGACCGCGCTGGTGCTATTGGAGTACGAGGCACACGCACACACCAAACCGTTCGGTTTTTCCTCAGCTTCACCCCGCCGCCCCCGCCCCCCGGCCCTTCGACGTACCTGAATCCCACCCTATGGGCTGCAACCTGCAACCTGCAGCCAATCGTTCCGCCCGAGGACCTTGCCGCAGAGCAAGACTTTCGTTGGCGACCAAGTGGCCGAGAGGCCACCGGCGGGGCCACCGCCACCGCTGAGAGCACGAACTGGAGCCGCGCGAAAGGTAGAGGCTCCACTGCGAGCGGCGGTGCTACGGGGAGCAGCAGAAGGCGGGCTAGACGTGAGCGGGACGAGCGCGATCTAGACTGGGAAAGCGTCGGGCGAGCGGAGCGGGAGATGCATGCAGCGGGTGGCAGAGGGAGAAGGGAGGGTGGAGACGACGGAGATGTGGTTGCAATAGGACAGCTACGACGAAAACAGAGGCAGTTGGCGGAGAGGGAACACAAGTGCGAGGTGGACCTCGAAAAGGTGAGCAGGTAAACGTAGACTGGCTCGTTGGTGTTTCTTGTCTCGTCTTCGGGGTAGTGCGTGACGAGTGTTTGGCCTCACGTGGACCGGATACCGGATATGACTTCATTGCTGCCTCGTGACGTGCTGTGAAAATTCAATCTCCAGATTCCACGACTCCCAGCGTTGTGTTGGAGGTGTCGTCTGCTGCAACATGCCTATTGTATATGTTTACCTTCCTTGTCGGTCAAACTCTATAGACTACACCTCTGTCGACTAACCGTGTTTTTTCCTGATTTGTCCGACACCCAACCGAAATCACGCCTGTTGTATTCCTACAACCCTTGCTTTGCTCGGCCGCACTTTCGTCGCGAATTGGGCCAGTCTTGGCTCTCAAAGGCAATGTTCAATGTTGAGATTTCTATGCTTGTTTCTAAGCTACAACCGCAACTTAAACCGCGGTGATGACGCTATAATTTTGCGCCGTCCCTCTGGTGCGTATTGTTTATTTTGTTCGCGACCCCTTCCTCTCCTGCTTCTCGACTGCGGTGATTTATGTTCTTGTTGGGGTACAAGGTTCGGGATCGCCTTGATGTGGTGGATGCTACGGTGGAGCTGTGGATGCGCCGATCGGCGGGCATGTTGTCGCGCGGGGGCTCCGAGACTGACACGGATGTGCTGCAGGTATTCACTGCATTCAAGTCGCAACAGAAATCGCTTGTCGACCGCGAAGGCGGTACGAAACAAGGACTTATGTAATTCCTCCGTACGTCTTGTGTTCCGGCCTCCTGAGCATTTATCATGTTGGCCCACTCCTGCCCTTCCTCGTTTCCGCCCTCGACGTTGGGACGAAATGTTACGGCACTGATTGCCGAGACCATGAGGCGCGACCAAGTGGGATCGTTGCTGACGCCAGTTAACGTGAAAGTTTGGAAGTGGTGCAGGGCTTGAAAATCGCTCACCAACCGTACGTAACAGCTCAACTCCCGCGCGACATGTCCCGTCCTGCCCGTTCGCTTGGCTTTCCGTTCCCTTTGTTGCCCCTCAACACTCGGTCTGTTGGCCAATTTGATGTTCGTATCACGATATTATCATCATTCAAGGCGAAAAGACGAATCTACGGCCTAAAAGAGGAGGGGCGACAGTTGGATAGTGCCACCGTCGAGCTGGAGGGCCGTCTCGAGGACTGCCGTGCCAAGCTCGACAGGATCGTCCAGGTGTGTTGATTACAGTACAGTACAACATGATGATAGTGGACTATGTTTCGCGCTTGTTGGCCTTGTGGAGGGTGCCTGCGACCTGATTGCATGCACGTTGCGTTTTATTTTCTTGTGCGTTTCGCTCCCGCTTGGACGGAGAGCGGATGGGTTCGGTGTCATCGACATACCCTTGGCAGTATTGCCACCCCTTGATCTAGTACACGGTGGCGCACGAACCCAGCGTGTGATTTATTGTGGCCTGTACCCGTGCGAAGGTTTTGGTAGGATAATTAACACGATGAGAGTCAGGCGCGTAGATATTTTCGTGTTAGTCATTTTTGGTGTCACGACGGCAAGTAGAAGGGAAACGGTGAATAGCAGTGAACTTTGCACATTGCACCCGGTTCCATGGACGTTGATGGTGAGCGTTTGTTCGTGTGCTATCTACCCTCGGATTCAACCTGTATTTCAGGAACTTGAATTCCTTGGGGAGGCCGCAATGCCTCGAGCGTTTTACACGCCAGGCGAAGGAGATGATGAAATTGTGGCCAAGGCTGAGACTGTGGAAGCCGGCATTCAGGCGGGAGGAGGGGGGGTTAAAGGGGACGTTAACCCCAGCATGACCACGCCATCCGGCGACGACACTAAGGTCGTGGAGATTGGCGGGCTTGGTTTGAATGCGGAAAGCAAGCGGCCTACGGAAGCCGTGCCGGCAGTAACAGAAGCAGATACTTGAGGCGCAGGCCGTCGTTTTCGGCGGCATTGCTATACGGGCTACCGGGAGATTGCTTTTGACAAGTTAAGCATCAGTTGGTTCCTCGTGTTACAAAATCAACGGCACACGCCTTCTTGCCTCCGAGAGAGTGCCGGGCGATGAAGTCGCAGGTATTTTCTATCCAGGACAATATTTCAGGCGCGCGTATGTATTCAGCGTCGGGTCTGGACAATCGTGTACCAGTCTGTCCGGGGATATAGTACCGATTTGGACATCCGGCAACATAACTTTTGCTGCAGACCGAAATTTCCGAAACGTTTTTTTTGCTGCGCAAAACTCTTTTCAGCGCAGACGCCAGAAAAGCACTTTTCAAAAAATCAGACCACACACCCCTGTTCACCTGCCGCCATGTCGAGCCAAACTGAGCTCTTTGGCGGGAATCGCCGGTCGGAGGACTTATCAGCGGACCCACCAACATATCTGCTGCGGAAAGCGCTGCCAGCAGACCAAAACGCAAGAATTTGACAACTTCGGAGAAAAAAGGCATGGTTGCCGAGCTGCTCAAGGGCAGCAACAACGGGGTTTTGAGCCATGGCCATGGTGACGTCAAGAGGGTGGCGGCGATCTACATCCCGGGGATGACATTCCAGCATCCCCGGTTAGCCCATGACATTTTTTTTTTGGGGGGGGGGGGCTTCGTACGTCATGCAATGACCGTGGACGGCGATAGAGCGATTTCGATCACCAAAATAGCCCTCTGCGCTTCAATAGTCCAAACCGGAACTATATTGCCGGATGTCCAAATCGGTACTATATCCCCGGACGGTCTGGTACAGTCCTAGCAGACGCTTTCAGAAAGTAAGCAAAGATATAATGCATTGGCAACTGACAAGCCAAGCGCACAAAAAGCCGAAGCGCTGCCTCCAACAATGGAGAGATGGTACCAAAGTGTCGATGCCCACAACAAGCCGAAGCGCGACCTTCCACGCTGCTCAAAGTATACATGGACCATACCAAAAACTATAACAGAAGCTGCGTCGTTGTTATGCGTTGACGCGTATACCCCAAGTCCTTCTTGGCCAGCAGCAGTTCAGAGCAGCAACGCGCTTTTTCGTCTCAATTCGCCAACCTCTAAAGGCCGCGTTCTCTGAGCCGCTATGTGCCGTATTGCCGTACCGCCAAAAACAAACAGCGAACGAGTAATGTATGAGCACGATCGATCACCATGACGATGAGGGCGACAACACCCAACACGAAGGGACGTCACCGCTAAAACCCCTTTGGTGCAGTTGGCGGCGAAGGAAGGTGCTGCCGTCAAAGTATTGGCTTCGCGTGGGCTCAGAGCGTACGCGCACGGCTTTCGGAACAAAGGCCCCCTCCCTGTCCAAGGCACGATATACTCTGGCGTCAGGACATACCGTGCAATGTTATGCCTCGGTCTTGACCTTCTTGCCCTTGCGCCGTTCGCGGCCGCCTCCACCCTCAGCGCGACCCCTCTTCTGCGACCACCACGCATGCTTCTTCAGTTTCTTGTTGACCGCGATCAGCTTGTCCTTTTCCACTCGATACGGCTACCGTGTGACGTGTGATGGGGGAGAGCACGGGGAACGAACGGGACAAAGGCGTTACGGTTTCGGGATTGCGCGGGTGTTTTGGGGGTGGGCGTCGGGTAGGGTACCCCGCAAACTTGGGCTTGAGGATGTTCCGGGTCCACATCCCGGTACGTCAATGTTTGGATGATAGACTACACGTGATCTGGTCGATAGAGCAGTCAAGGAGTCAAGGCTTCTAGCTGTATAGGTTGTGGTTCCCTCGCTTCTCACCAAAATTGCGTCCAATTCTAGGGCCAACCGCTGGGCCTCTCTCAGCACGTCTTTCCAGCCCTCCCGATCGCCGAATTCCTTGCCTAGCAGAGCGGGCAAGTCAAACGGAGGCGCTTCCATTCGACGTGCTGCATTCACATTGGAAGGGCGCCGGGGCGGGGGCAGGGAGTGGTGGTTCGTTGCAGGCAGTCTGTCGCTGGGCCGCATCAGGCCGGCATCTATACAGTACAACGCAAGAAACAACACTACAAACCGGTGAGGTAGTGAAATGTTATCGCCAAGCTGCTGTGGCGTTTTCCTTCCGTGGCATACTCGGCAGTCTCGTCATCATCACTTCCAATAATTAGTTGGGCAAAGCCCTGAGGGAGGAGGAGAAAAAAACAAGCGAAAGGTTGCGGTTCGTCAGTACCGTAGTTGAGGGCACGACGTCGGCGGGGTTGGTACAACCAAACCAGGGTCGACGCAAAGTCTAGCCTACCCCCGCTGCTGCACGGTGGGATGAACCCACATTCTCGGAGCAGCGCGGCCAAGGCTAATCGCGAGGGCGGGTGGAGAAACGGAAGGTCGGTCACCTTTCATTCGCGAGAAGCGTACATGTAGACATGGAGCCACGCGGACGAGATTTTCAAGGGGGAGAAGGGGCGTCGGGAAGGCAACACAAAAGGTTAGGGTTGTACCATTCGCAAATTTTGCGAATGTTTCAAACACCGAAGGTTGCAGTCGAACAGGCGAATGGCATGGTGCCTAATCGCTTCGCTCGCCCGCACAAGACGGCGAGATAAAAACAAAGGCGTATCTACTGTTGCGGTCCTCTCCATGCAGTTGTATGCCACCCAAAAGGGTAGCAATCGCACGTTGTACCCTACTAGAAAATACACGGAACTGCCAAACATGTCAGCGGCCCGGTCGGTACCATCATGCCATGATGCGATGCTGCCTACCTCTTGCTCGGCACCAGAAATCAAAACACGCACTTCTTGCTTTGGCGTCCACTTTTTTGTGTGCTACGCACCATCACTACTAACAAATAGTGTGCAACACGACGTTCCAAGAGCCAAGTCAACGTGCACCAAACAGTCTAGTAATAGCATCGCGGCGGTTGTCGCCCTTGTGCTTGATGCTGGGTGCGCCATCTCATCTCACCACAATATCGTCGAGGGCAGCCCTGGCTCCATCGTGTAGCGCCATGATTCTCTCCGGCTGCGGCGATATCCCTTCCGTTTTGGCTTTTAACCGGGCACCCTCGACCAGCGCCGGTAGAGCTCTGTAGGGGTGGAACACCGCCAGGTGAAAACTCAGACCCTGGGAGAGTTTCGTTTCGGCAGGGGCACGAGAGCAAAAGCAGAAACATCAACATTGTGTTGGGTTTGGCTGTTTCGTGATACAAGACTAGCGACCCGTAGGCGAGAGAGAGAGAGAAAAACCACCGCAGCTCGTTGCAGGATGATCGCCAGTGCGCGAACTTCAACGCGTGGCTTGGGAGCACTGGTGGTTGGTTTACCGTCGACGTGCCCTATCCCCCATACGACTCCCGGTCGCAGCAGCCACCCTCGCTCCCACCCACTTGCAACAAGGTCAGTTCCTTTCCCAGGATCTGTAAGTCATCGAGCCCCGTCGCCTTCGCCAAAAGGTTCACGTTGGTCATCTGCTCCTCAGTCTTGCTCGCCAGGAACACGCACGTCAAGCTGTATGATTCACGGGGAGTTGGGGCGTCGGGGTTAGCTGAGGGAGCTTGTACTTCAGGCGTAAAAAAAATGAAGGGGATCCCTGGATTCCAAGACCCAACATCTTGCTTCGATGTCACGCAGCTTCGCAAACCAGTGCCGATTGAACCACCCGTCGTATGCATAGAGCAAAACCACTGCTTCGAAGTACTTAACAGTAATTTGCAGACATACGTCTCAGGACCGGGTGGGGTTCAAAGGGTGCCAAAGTCGGCAGAAAAAATCAAGCGAGACGAATAGATAGATAGTACCAACCCTTACAGCACCACCAAGGGAGGACTTCTGGGTCACACGTGCCTCCCACTCACTTTCTCTCTGCATCCCTCCCCCCCCCCCCCCCCCC